CCCGCAGCGAATCTCACAGGAAAAGCTATGCCCTCTTAAAACTCTTGAGAAGTTTCTTACCTTTCACACAGACAACAGATTAACAGGTGTGAGAATTACCACAGGCCTAAGGATGACCCCCGTGGTCAGTGGGGAGCTACCAAAGCAGGTGACAGGCCTGATGATGCAGAGCTTGTCTTTCAGGATAATTTCTAACCTAATAGTCCAACAGCTCACAGCCCTACCTGCATTTATCTTCACAGCAGACCAGCCAGGGCCAAGTTTTAGGTTATAAGTAGGCAAGATGTTGAGAGGTACTTGGGAGCCTTCAGAACATCTGTTTTGAACTCAAGGTGCATGCAGCCATCACTCTTAGAGTTACTATTGGGAAAAGGGACTTGGGGTGCTCATTTTTGTAGACAACCATCCTCTTCAAGCTGTGCATTCTTTTTAGTGACTGCATGGCCTGATGAGATGGTTTAGCTCATTGAGCTGCCTGAAAACAGGTGATCTTGGATCTGTTTTTGAAAGTCTGCATAAATTCCAGTTTTCATGTAATGTAGAAGAAGGTCAGGACAACTTCTCTCTGCTGCTCTATAGTCACAGGGTAACTTAAATCACCCATTCAAATACATCTCATAAAAACTAAAAACTGTCATTTGTGTATCCAAGCCCATCCAGAAAGTCCATCATAGTAGAGGGGCTTGAACCTAGTTTCTGGGTGAGCAACCCATAACTGTGGGAACTCAAAATGTCTCTCAGACATTTTTAGAGGTTCCAGGCCTTGGTCAGAAGCATTTTAGACCCTGGCAGACAGCTGAAAAACAGCTGTGATTTTGAGTTTGAGCCATGGAATGAATTACCAACTTTGGAGGTGGAACAAGCAGTCACAAAAGGTTAGATAGTATAGTAAAAGTAATTACAAAGTAGAGGGGAATTTTTTTTAGTATTGTACAGGGGGGTTTTAACACTTGTAAGGGGGGTTTTTACTTTGTACATGGGGGTCAGAAGTTCTAAGATGGAGGAAAGTGGGCTGATCCTGTTCTTCCTTCTTCTTTTTCCTTGCCTCCATGTTCTTGGTGATGTTGGCACTCACAGATTGGTTTAGAGTAGAAAAGCACTTTGTAATATAGGTAGTAGGTATTAGGGGAAAACTATAAACGTAATACGTAATATATCATATAAAAGATAGCAGCAGCCCTGGGAGGGGGGAGAGAAGAAGAGGACAGCAGACAGAGAGGGTGTCAGGGTGTGTGTTCCTCTGCCCAGGCCGCTGACCAAGCAGCCGCAGCCCGAGAAGACAATCTGTTAGATAACTCACAATAAACTGCCTTGAGACCGAACAACAAGAGCCTGCAGAGTTTTTCTTTGGAAGCACGGGTTGGAGGAGAAATTTCACCACCATATGAGACCCCAGAGCAAGGCTGGGGTTCTCACACATAACCCTTTCTAGGTTCTCCATTGTCTGAAACCCCCCCCATATAATGTCAGGAGAGTGATGTCACATACTTCTGCCAGTCCCTTGTCTTCCTCTTGACCATTTCTTTGTGTTTAATCACCTCTAAATTTAAGAGGCATCTTGATTGCCCCAAAATGCATCATTACATGCCACTTAGCAGCACCATGCTACCAACATCCTGGCTGGTAAAAACCCACCAACTCTGATGTGCCATGTTCCCATCAAAAGAGACTCTGGGAGGAAGAAGCCATGTGTTTCCTTTAACCTGCAACAAAGCAAAGCAGTTCAAAGAGCTGGAAAAGGAGGTTAACAATCTCTTTGAAATGTAGGTTCCAATTCCCAGCACGGCCCCAGTCAATTATCAGCAAGTGCTGTGACACTTCTACTGCTAAGGAGGAAGAGGAGGGAGGGGAGCATGTGGCACAGAGGTCCTGACAGGCAGCAGGGGGGTTAAAGGACATCACCGGGGTGGTGGGAAAGTTACCAGGATTTGTTTCAGGCTGATTAACGCTTCTGTGGTGTGCCCAGAGTAGAGGCCAGACCAGTGGGATGGGTGGAGCTGGGCAGGTGGCAGCACACTCCCCTGCCCAAAGCCCTCTGCGTCTGGCAGGGCTTTTTCGAGGGATGCACAGCGCCTGGCACCGTGCTCTGCTGCTTTCTCCAGGGTGCTCCTCTGTGGCAGCATGAACCACTTTTATTTTAATCCCATTAATGAACGGCGGTGAGTGCAGGGATGGGGATGGGGCAGGAGGGGGGTGGGTTTGTCTTGGTGGTGAGGATGGGTGCACACAGGCATACAAATGCTGAGAGACAAAGACTGTGATTAAGGGCTGGTACTCCAACTCCCTTCTTATTACAGGAAAGGATTTATCTGATGGCCTATTTTCAGCTCCAATTTTCCACCTTTTAATCAGGTTCCCAGGTCTCCTTGTCCACTCAAAAAGGAAAGGAAATCTGAGCGTGATGAAGCACGAGTAATACTTTATAAACATGCATGGGTCAGAGGGTTTCACTGCCCGAAACTTCCCTAGGAGGCAGATCCCAGGACAGGCAGAAGGATTATATCCAGCCATGCAGCATTTTTTTCTGGCATGGCAAGAGTGCATCTGTGCTTTCCTGCCTGACCAAGCCAGGGTTTTGTGAAACAAATGTGCTGGAAGTAAAAACCTTCTGCAAAATGGAAAATGTACAGAGGAGCAGCTATTTTTAAAAGGGACAGCACCTACTTCTGTTATGAAGTCAGCCACATAATCAGTCAGCAAGGGACTTCTGTGGGCTGACAGCTGACTGCCAGGAGAAATGGTTCCAGTAGACTGATGAGAAGAAAATGAGAGTGAGAGGTGCATATTCTCTAATAAAGAAAAGAATGTCTGTCCTGTGCTGCCCTGGGCACAAGGCAGATGGGGGAAGTGACCCTCACTGTCTTTTCCCACGTGCTGGAAAGGAGGTATGAGATGCTGCTAACTCTTCAGCAGTCAGAACAGCACAAGCAAATGCAAGCTCACCCACTACTTCTTCCTCCCTTACCCAGCCTAGCCTTATTGCCCAGCCTCTGCTGAGGTTTTCCTGCTTCTAAAAATGTTGAGCCTGTAATTAAAACGCCCATCTTGCTTGCCAGGGCAAACATCTCTGGCTGCAGAGCTGAGCTGGTTGTGGAGACAGCCAAAGCTTGCAGCTAACCAACCTGGCTGGCCTTCCTGGCATGGATGGCTTTCCTGGCATGGATGGATTTTCTGGCATGGATGGCTTTCCTGGCATGGATGGCTTTCCTGGCATGGATGGATTTTCTGGCATGGATGAATTTTCTGGCATGGATGGCTTTCCTGGCATGGATGGATTTTCTGGCATGGGTGACTTTCCTGGTGTAGATGGCTGTTGATGCCTGGTACGAGGTCCATCACACCATGTTATCAAGCTGACAGGCCCTGAATGAGGGCCTCCTCAACTCATCCAAGCCCCAGTGTGCCCTTCCTCCTCTGTGGGGACATCAGTGCTGTTTCAGGTGTTCGTGCCTCACTGGTGCAGAGGGGACACACATGTGTGATGTGGGGGCTCATGTTTCTGGTAGAGGCTTGCCTGTTTCTTCCAATTCAGAGGATTTTGGAAAGGCTATTTAAATAAATAATAATCAAAACAATAATTCATAATCTAAATAATAAATTAAGTTATTAATTAAAGAATGAATAAAAAGCAGTTGAAAAGATGGTAAGGCAAGGGGGCAAAGGAGTACTGAGAGGGACAAGATCTAACACAGTGCTGGAGCATCATATATGTGGGGCATTCACAAGGATGTGGGAGAATACAGCTTCAGACCCTTGTGTCCCAGGATATTGTCCTTCCCTAGGAGAGGAAGACACTCTTCACCTCTTTGACTGAGCCACGCCCCTGAGCAGAACTGATTCCACCCCAAAGAGGTGTGGTGGTGTAGCCTCATGGCCATAACCTTGTGATGGATACCAGAGGAACAGGCATCTCTAAGAGTTGGTGGTGGTGGCTTTTCCCCTGCAGTCCATAATAGTTCTATGAGCAAGATTTGGCTTTCCCTGGTGATCTCACACCACAGACTATCATCTGGCTACTTTATATGCCATCTGGGAGGATGGGGCATTTTGGGGAAACAGGTAAAAAAACCAACAGCCTCTTCCAGGCAGCCTGCAAGTCTGCCTGCCTGGGTGGAAGATGCAGTTGTTCCTTCAGGCCTGGGAGGAACAGGAACATTACAAAACTTCCTATAGGCAGTTTCCTTGGTGAGTCTCTTATTGCACCACTTTTATACACAGCACCAATAAGCCTTAATATTAAATTTGCAATTTAAGAGCAGGAAGACCGCTCTGGAGAGGTTTCTGTTTATTCTTTAGGTGCAATGGCTCTGCATGGTCTTAGTCCCCTGTGCAGCAGCCCCACCTCTGCAGAGGAAGGTGCTGAGACTGGATTACATGTGTCTCACTGCCAGAAGCTCTGTGGTCTGGCAGTGTTCAGCTTTCTGTGCTGTGGCATCATTTCTGCACCCCTTTACTCCCTTCCACCCCCACAGAATCACAGAAACTTCAGGGATGGAAAAGACCTCTAACATCATCATGTTCAACCCCTAACCCAGCACTGCCAAGTCCACCCTTAAACCGTCTCCATAAGCACCACATCTGCATGTTCTTGAAAACTTCCATGGTCTTGTGGTGTCTCCCCACATCACCCCACCTGCTGCAAATCCAGCCTTTCAACACTAGCAGACCATGACCCAGATTGGTCAAATCCACAAAGAAATCTCCACCTGCTCCACAAGCTTTGGAGCAGGTCCTGGAGCAGGGAATTTGCACCACATGCTCTCTGCTGCTTCATGCCATGTGTTCCTAATTTCCTTCAAGTCAACCACAGAAGCTCTCAAGTCTTTCCATCACTGAAGAGCATAGTAAGCCAAGCACTGTGGGACAAATCCTGCCTCCAGTTTGCAGATGCAGCACCCATGGGGGCAGTGGGGATCAGCAGAGGAGAGAAGCTGTGTTGCACTTCAGACCCAGTGACAGCTGCCACCCACTCAGCATTAAAGCAATAAATCTGGGGGATCTGGGTTTATTCTCCTCCAAATCACTTTATTATATTGTGAGTAATCACAAAGCCTTACAATGCTGCAGAGGTTTTTTAAAAAAACAGACTAACACAGCAATAGTATTTGCCAGCTTTTGCTAAGACTAGTTTAGCTAGCAGCTAGCATGAGATTACACAAGGAAATCTTGCAGTCTTCAATTGGATTGTCACATTGGGTTTTAAATTTACCACAGTGTTACAAAGACAGTAACTTTGACAGTAGGTGATAACCGTAATGTTTCATCTATGTACAGGCTTAAAAAAGTAAACAGTATTTTTAAAATGTATTTTTCTTTAAAAAAAATACATTTTCTGCCAGCAGAAAATGATTCTCTTAAAAAGGCAAAATCCAGTAAAACCCCCACATCTTTCCTCACAAACTGCCCCTGTCCTGCACTGCAATTAGTTTCTGTTCCCCCCCAGATCTCTGCCCATAGGCAGCCCCATTGCCTTTTTAAGAAAATAAACCTTTCCTGTGATTGTGAAAGCTGGTCAAACATTGCAAAGGCGTGGTAGAGGAAAAAATCCCCAAAACTGAAGGAAGGGGTGAAAATCCCACCCTGAGCTACCCAAACAAATTATTGAAATTGAGACAGATAGAAATGTGGGAGTATTTCAGTACCAAATTTCAGTATCCAAAGTTGGTTGTTGACTCTGACTTTTATGGAGTCAGAGGGTTTGGGTAACAGGGTTTCCACCTTCCAAGAATTTTGAGGGTATGAGAACAAAACCTGAGCTTCTTCCAACACTCCCAAGGACAGTTGTGAGATGAGTTTATATCTGTACCACCTTTACACAGATCTCCCTAAATCAAACATTGAAAGTGACCCTGATGCAGGGCTGGATTTAGAGACCAAACTGCAGATCAGCTTGAGCATGACCCCCATCCACAACATCACATGCCCCTGGAGAGAGCATGCCAGATGTGGACCAGACTTCAGCAGTCACTTCCACTGCTCCTAATTAGCAAATTGAAGGCTTCACACTTGGCACTGAGTCATGTTATACTGCCTTCTCCCACTTCCTCCTAGACTGGAGAAAAAGAGGGTCCAGAAGGGTTCCCCTTTGCCAGCATTTCAGCAATGGGGGGAGAAAAAAAATCAGTAAAACTTTGAGGACTAGGCTTTTTATCAGATTTCAGTTTATCAGATTCACTTGGCAACCAAGGAGCTGTGTGAGAGAAAGAAAAGCCGAAACTCTGGGAAAAAACCCAAAGATCTTTTCTCTGATAAGCTAAGTGCTCCAGGACCACTAGCATCAGTGTTAATTCTTCCCCAGCACGTTCTCAGAAGTGTTTTGGCACTGCAAGCTGCCTCACATATGCCCAGATGAGCTGCAGATGTTGTGTTCAGATGGGGAATGTCAGCCTGGAAACAACTTACTCTCATATCCTCTAGGACTGCATCTTGGTCATCAAGAAAGAAGCCCTGTCAAAGTTTCCTTCCAAGCTTCCCCAGAAAGGGAGGAGGGATTCTTTTCCATTTTTTTATTTTTCTTTTTTTCTGAGCTAGGCTACATGATCTCTTCCCTTTGCAACCTTCTTCATCAAAGGCTAGTTCCTGGGGGAGATGTGGCTGTTAGCAGACCCCTCTGCTTCCCTTCCTCTGCTGCACATCATCTCTGACCAATGGCTCACTGAGAGTAAAAAGACAGGAGGTTGCCAAAGCTGGACCTAAGTTAATTAGACATGAAAAGGATCAAGGTGGAAAAAGGAGAAATTGGTGGGAAAATGTCTCGACTTACTCAATGTTCATTGCACACCTATGCAAATAACATGTAAAACCCAGCACATTAAGTGCACCCTGTATTCAGGTTTGTCTGGAAATGTTTCTTCAAGATTGAAAGTGCATGACAGAAAACAGGGTGCTGCTAATGAAGGCAACATCCAGAAGGCACATTTTGGGGAGTAATAATTAAAAGAAGGATGATGCATGGGTTTGTGAGCAAGCAGCTACAGAGCTGGTACATTTTGGTGTGTGCTCTGCGGAGGTGTAGCTTTGCTCCTACAAACGCATCTGAGGCATGAAGGGTTTGCTCCAGATGGAGTGTTCTGCCCTGGGACCTGCAGAGCGACTTGCCCCCGCATCATCCAGCATCGCCGCTCCTGAGCCGACGGGATGAGTGAGGACCTCGATGCGCCGGGTGAAATCCGGAGCCTGCAGATAACGCGGACCGAGATTTGAGAGTTTATAAAATCCACAAACAACTATTGGCAAATACAAATATATAAATTATTGACAGTTTTACAAAAGGCACACTGCAAGCCATCTCAGTCCGACACCTGTACAAGTCCCATGGTCCCGCACCCTCCCTGGCCTACCCCTTCTTCTGCCCACTTTCATCACAAAACATAAGGTGCTGCTGCTACAGATCCACGGCTGTCATGGCAACTGAGGACTTCCTTTTTGGTCAGCCCAATTTGTCGGTGGTACTGTCCTTCTTTGATGGTCTTAAGACACTGTATGTCCTTCCCCAAGGTGATGCTTTTGATGGAAGGCAGGCATTTCAGCAAAGTCTTTGGCAAGGATGATATGCCTGTGCCAGAGAGGTTGAGCTCTTGTAGGGAGTTCAGACCAAAGATAACTTCAGCAGACAGTGACTTCAAATTTGGATTGTTGGATAAATCCAGAACCTGGAGGGCTTGAAGTTCCTTGAAGCTATGCGGAGATAACTCTCTAAAGCCATGCAGACCACTGAGGGATAGATGAATCAAGTCTTTCAGCCTCGTGAAGTCTCCTTTCTCAACCTTAACCAGAGGGTTTCCATCAAGATTTAAATATCGGAGAGGAATGCCTTGAAGGTTTGGTACAAATGTTAGCCTGTTTCCAGAAAGATTTAAATTCTGGATGTTGGGAATGCTCCTTTCATGGTGCCTTGTAATTGTGCTGAGCATATTATTGGATAGATCCACATTCAGGGATTTGCCTTGACCTTTTGAAGCAAAAATGTCAATAGCTATATCCAAAAGTTTGTTATTGCTCAAATCTATGTCACTTAGGGGAGAACTGGAGAAACAGTCCTCCGGAAGGACTTCCAGAGAGTTATGACTCAGATCCAAGGACTCCAGGTACCGAAGCCTGGAAAACGTTGTGGAAGAAATCTTGGCAATTTTATTGTAGCTCAGGTCGAGACTCACCAGGGTGGTGTATCCAGGGCCAGTAAGCATCGATTCATTTATTGTTTCCAGTCTGTTTGATGATAGATCCAAGTAGGAGGTGTCCAGAGGGATTGGGACAGGAACAATGTGTGAGCCTATTCCACTGCAGTCCACCTTGGTCAAGCTAAAGCTGTCAAAGAGACCAAAGGTTTCCACTTCACAGTGGCAGCCAGGGAAGCAGGTTTTTGTAGTACCAAAGCAAGGAAGGAGAAGCAGCAAATTGAACCAGGCCAGGAAATGCATTGTTCTCCTGGAAAACAAGACAATAGAAAAGCAGATTTAATTGCTGTAGAAATTACTTTATGAAGGATGTGTAACTGTTTGATTTATGCAGTCTTGTTCTTTCTCTTTACAAGGGAGAGATTAAGCATACCCTTAAATAGCATGGATATCCCAAAGACTTTTTCTCTCATGTTATGAACCCCAGTGGGAACTTAATGGAGAAAAAAAATTGGGTCAGCAGTCTTTACACACATAACCAAATTGAGGCAAAATTGGAAATGAGCTCTAAGAACAGTAGGCTGCCTTAAAGCATGATCTATTAAACATATAAACTTTTGACTGGACCATGGAAGAAAAGGACAGCTCCTTACTGCCCAAATGGATATCACATCTCCCTTCCTTGGACTTGAGATGTAAAGTTTAGAAGTTTGGATTTGTATCAGGTGGCTAAAACCAACACTCCTTGGCCTGGTGGAAGCTCCTACCAGAGCAGAGGAACCAAGGCTTGTTCAGTTTAACTCAGCCTTTGCTGTGGTGGGCCCAGCCCTCTGCACCGTGGAGAGAGACAATTTGCTTAATATACAGTCTTTGGGGAGCCTCTGGTAATTGCATTAAGTATTCTCTCAAATTAACAGTGCCAGTAAGCAAGGGGTTCTCTCCACTACTTTGGTTTTGATCTGTCTTCCTCCAAGACATTTCTGTCTCTCCATCATCTCATACAAGAGAAGCAGAGAGCTAATCTGCACGCTCCAGCTTTGCTGAACCTCTTCAGATGGCATCCTAACAACTCACCCACACAACAGTGGGCAACAATAGCTGCATGGTTTCAAGAGACAGACAAAACAATCCTTAGATCTGCATCTCTGGAGAGGCTACATAGGAGCATGTCAGCATCTTGCAGGTCAGCAGAGGCAGCAAGGACTGTCCTCACTGGTTCCTATTGCAGTCCTGGGTGATGACTCCCCATGCCTTACAAACAAGGTCTCCAGAAGGCTGGAAACAAAAAATCTCACCAAGCCAGACAAGCAGATCCATCAGCACTGGTCCTTGGATATGCTGCTAGCCATAAACAGACCTCATGTGCCAACTGCTCATTTAACAAGCAAAAAGTAAAATAAATCCCTTTAAATGAAAGTTCCCATCCCCACTTCAGCCTCCTTGGTCTCTTACCTTTCCCACCGTTTAAAAGCACTTCATTAACTTCCTCGAAGTATCATGTTTCCCACACACCCTTTGATCTGGCTGAGATTCCTTCCTCACAGCCCTTGCACCTTCCCAAGACCATTTCCTCGAAATTCACACTTCATCTCCCCTCACCCACCCCTTGGATTCAGTTTCTCTCCCTTTTCAGCATGATGTTCTTGGCCCTGCTTTCATTCCCAGGAGACTGACTGAGGACTACTTGCCAATGTGCAAAAAAAGTGCAAAGGGGAAAAAGTGTTGCAAAAATACTGTCCTGATCACTGATGTTAAGTTTTATGGCAGTGTCTCCCAGACCTCCTGCCAACAGAAAGCAGAGATTGGAACTCTGGCCAAGTTGCCTGCAACTAAACCATTGCTAAAGGCCCCTTTGGGGTCCATTATTATACAGATACAACAGAAAATTAATAAGATGAGCCCTAGCATCAGCCCATCTCAACTGTTTCTTGAGAAAACACTTACGTGTGCAGAAGGGACATAGTGGGTAGGGCTCTTCTCTGCAGACACTTTTCCAGATATCCCTTTCCTAATGACATCAAGGCTGATCCCCATTGGTTCTGTGCAGACAGACATAGCTTGCTGCCTTCTGCAGCCCCTCCTAAAATAAATACTACTATTTTTATTTTTTCATGAAGCTGCATTTGGATTGCACTGAAATGTTTTATTACCAGGGGAAGTTAGAGCAGTGGGGAGTTCTTGTAAACTAAAACTGCAAAACCTCAAATGTTAAATATCTCACATACAGGGAAGTATCTACATTGGTATCAGCCCAGTCTACTGGTATTTCTTCTCCCAAATTCTACCCAGTTGCTATTCCTGCTTGATGTCTCTATATGGACAGGACCTCCCAACTTCTCCTTCAGAAGTGCATCTCGTTTCCTCATAGAATTGTTTTAGCTGTGGTGGGAGCTGAATCATACACCAGGAAGTCCAAAGACATACCACTGTTAAATTTTACTTTCTGAGCACTGCTAAAGCCTTCATTGGCTCCTTATGGAACATCTGAACAAAAGTAAGAGGACAAAATCCAAAACCCTAATTTAACTGGGAACAGACTTTTAATAGGGCCTGTAGTGGTAGGATAAGGGGTGATGGTTTTAAATTAAAAGAGGGGATGATTCAGACTAGATCTAAGGAAGTCTTCTTCTATGATAAAGGTGATAAAACACTGGCACAGGTTGCCCAGAGAAGTGGCAGATGCCCCATCCCTGGAAATATTTAAGTCCTGGCTGCATGGGGCTCTAAACAATCTGGACTAGTTGAAAATGTTCCTGATTATTGTGGGGAGTTGGACTGGGTGGCCTTTAAAGGGTCTACTCCAATCCAAGCTATTCTGTGATTCTATGAATTGAGAGAAGATTGCAAAGTGATGCTGGGCTTTGATATGCACCTGCTCAAACCCTTTTGACATGGGAATTCCCATCCTGATCGGCCTCAAAAATTATTGCCAGAAGTGGGCAGATACAGTGACTCTCGCTGCAACATCTATCACTTCAGCCAGCAGCACAGACAGATCATGACACAGCTGAAATGCAGTACACAAAGCTCAGCTGAAGTCTTTGCACAGCATCTATTGCCTCTTCCCTCCTTGCAGCACTGCCACGAATTCTCCTTCACTGGCTCTGCAATTGCTTTGCAGATGGAATACAATCCATTAGTACCAGTTGGAAACTCCCTTATGGAGCAGAATAGACCATCATAGGCAAACATGCTACTTGGTTAATAGCTCTGACAAAAGATAGGAGAAATAAAGTTACTGGTCATCTTCCAGTCCAAGAAAGAGACTCCTGCATTGCCAGATCATTGGCAAAGAGCTTAGTCAGGTACAGGCATGTTTTATTATTGTGTGCAATAATCAGTGGTTCTCTTTGAAATGGGGAAAGAAACACACCGCAGGCATTTACAGTTTTGTGTGCAGTGTGTGTTTGAAACTGCACCAAAATGCCTTTGGATTGCTGCCCACGAGCTGCTTTGTTGACAAAGGCAGGAAGCCAAGGTATCCCCTTGTAAAAGGAAGAGGAGTTAAACTCCTGCAGCACTGGGGACTTTCACCTAGGTATGAAATACCATGGACAAGAAACCACTGGCACCATTACCTAGGACAGTGAGGGGAAAGTCACTGGGAGAAAGCAGGCCACCCTAGGGCTGGTTTAGCCATGTCCTCTTCATTTCTATGGCTATTGAGGTATGGAGAGATCCCAGTGATACATTTTGGCTGTCTGGAAGCTCTATGGGTCATTTTATATCTGCTGATTCCAACAGGAGCTCCTGGGGGTGCAATATCTTCCCCCACGCTTCAGGTGCCTGTAGTGACTGCAGGGCTCTGGTCTTTATATCTTGCTCATCCTTTCTGCAGGTCAAATATTCTGAGACAATCCTAAGGAGAGCCTGTGGTGGTTAATGGAACCAGTGTTGGACCAAGCTTCTAGCAGCATGCCAGCCATCCCCTCAGATCCCACATCTCTCTGTTAGCCTGCAGATGCCCTTATGCCTTCTCCCTGCTATGCTCATCCATTGCAATGCTGTGTGGCAGGACTCAAACAGAAAACTCACACTGAAATTTCCCAGCCAAAAAGCCCCCAACATTAAAAGCAGATTGCAGAGGGAGGCCAGGCCTCAGATGATGGTTGGGGAGTGAGGTGAGGAGAGGAAAGCTTTGTTACTATGTTGTTGTAAATTCATGCTTCTCACTGCATTTGATTTTTTCCTTCTCCTCTCCCTCAAAGACTTTTCTCATTAGGGAGATCAGCTGACACATCCCTCCCTGGATGAAAGCCCATTGCCTGGGGACTGGTCCCCCTCTTTGGGAATGTGGATATTAAGAGGATGCTACCTAGGCTACCTCCAGTTGCCCTGGCAACCACCAAGCTGGAATTCCCTGTAGCAAAAAATCAATGACTAATTAAAGAAATAATACTAGGGGAGGTGTTTTAGAGTTTGCTGTTTGATGGAGTCAGGAAACAGCTGCCTCATTCTTCATTCTTAATTCCCTCAGCCTCCCTCAACATGCTTCTGAACAAAGCATCATCTGAAATGGTGCTGGGGTTGGGGCTAAAGGCCCAAATTCACCCAATGAAGCTTGAGGTACATGCGTAAGAAGTGCAAAAAAAACCCCAAAACACCAGTTGTCTCTATAGTGGAGTGTAGAGAATGAAATTGCTCCAAAAGGGGATGAAAGCAACCTCAGCCCATACACATCTCTGGAGATGTCCCTCTCTCCCTTGTCCATGACAGAGTAGGATGCCCACTCTCCCTGGTTACTGCTTCCCACCTCATTCTTGGCTGCATCTTCCAAACCCTAGTCCCTCCCAATAACTAGGTGCACTTGGATAAACCAGTTTGGCTCACTGATCCAACAGAAGCCCCTCTGATCTTTCTCTTTCCCCTTTGCTGGGTCAGTTTTCCAACAATTCTGGTGACCATCCATAGAGTTACCAGCTCTCACACAGGAGTGGGGAAAACAGAATCTGTTTTTTCCACAGCAACCCACAACTAGACCAAATCAGATATGACATGCATGGTGGCTAGATCCTGGTGATTTTTACATTTCTTGGCAATATTAATTCTGGATTAGCAGCAAAGAGAGAAAATTTCAGAGAAAAAGGCAAAAAGGAGGAGCTGAAGTCCACCCGTCCCAAACAGAGTTGTTGTTCTAGCTAAGGACAGAAGAGTTGTATTAGCAACAATATTTCAGAAGGAAGATTTTGGGATTGTTTTCTATTGTATCAGCCAAGTAAAGGAATAAACAAAATCTTAACAGCAAAGCTCACCAGGCCCACTTGGCTACCAGCACTAATTGGGGTCAGGGGAACGGGAATGTTATTGGAA